GTCCATGTGCTTAACCTAATTAAACCCTGTGCCATGAAGACAATGGGGGCGTGGAGGTATAGGTTCATCATTCTTGACCTCGACAGTAGATGGAAGTGAGTTGTCTGCTGCACACCCCGGCCGCTTTACCCCTGGGCAAAGAACCCCAGTACCCATTGAATAGGAGGCTGACTGGGCCCCAGAGTCGGTCTGGACGCTGTGAAGGAGAGAAAAACTTGCCTTGCCGGGACTCAAACCAGCCCGTCGCTTTTTTTTCGACTGAGCTATCCCGGCTCTTGATCGTTCCTCGCACATTCTTCCCAGTGTACAACTGCTCTCGCATTTAATTCTGTATAACATTTGGAGCTGGGAAAGCGAACGGCTAAAGACCGTTGAATAGCGTGTATTTGTATTCTTTCGCCAAATGTTAAAAATTGATTAGATCTAGGACGATGAGCTTGTCGGGACGTGTGTCAGGCGTGGGAGAAATGTGTACAAAGTGTCAGTGAGAAACGCTAAAGTAGAAGAGACTGAGCTATCCACTTGGTACTTCGGCCACTAACTGGCCTACTGTACCAGCCCCGGACGACTGATGATGAGTGTGGAGCAGTGGAATTAGAATTGGCATGGGAAACCGCACTGCTCGTAGAGAACCTGCCCCAGTGCCACTTTGTCCACCACAAATCCCACCTGAACTGGGCTGGAACCCGGGCCGCCGCAGTGGGAAGCTGGCTACTAATCATCAGAGTTATGGCACGGTCATGGAATTAGCCAGGCGAAATATGTTGGTTAATATGCAGATGTAGACTTTGCGGACATTTTAAAGTTTAATTTTAATAACTGTCACGGTACCCAGTCTCCTATCCAGGGTGTACCTGGTGCTCTTTCCCTGGAGTAAAGTGGCAAGGCGTGAATCAGACCAGTCACCTCTATCTCATGCCGGAGTCAAGCCACTCTCCAATATGTGTTTATGGTATAGTAATTAACTAATTAAGCACAAGGGACAACTTTACCTTACCCATCCCTGAAAGTTATGCATGATGCAGTACGCTGTAGTATCACTTCTTGCAGCAGCTTTTCATTCGTCCAGATTATGTGGAATGTTTAGTGGCAAATTAGAAAAAGAATGAATGGAATCAATCCCAACCTAATTTGAGACACTGTATTGGTATTTGCCTTGAGAAACTAAGGAAAACCGCGAAAAACCTCGGTCATTATACCTTCTGTCTGGACCGAGAGTTTAGCTCAGCACTCTCTGCCACATCGTTCAACTCTTGCATCTTATAACAGGCTTATAAAACTTGAAAGCTATTGTAAGATTTGAGGCTTTCACGGCGGTGACTATGAAGAAAGCAGTCTTCTGGGATTTGGCACCGTGTATATGTGGTGTTAACCGACGTTTCGGAGGAACGTATCGCCTCCCTCTTCAGGGTAGAAGAAAAAATATAAGAATTCTGCAAGCGAAGAGACCGTGAGAACCGGTAAAGCAGTCTGCCCTGAAGATGGGGGCGATACGTTCCTCCGAAACGTCGGTTAACACCACATATACACGGTGCCAAATCCCAGAAGACTGCTTTCTTGAAAGCTATTTCCGACATTTTGTGGATGTCTGAGATCCATGGTCGCTTGCAGTCTTGCCTTTCTACAAATTATGTCCACCCTAGAGACACCTTCTGAAAACTCTTCGACATTGATATACTGTTGTCATCCTTATTTCCTTTCTTCCTAAATGGTGACAGCTTTTAAAATTCCGTGTGTAAGAAGCTGCAAGGTGAATGCATAAATGTCTGATACGCAAGACTCTAGACGTATGTGTTAAAATTATTTCACGTTTCAGTATATCACGTGACTCATGAGTGGGAACAATACCGAGTAATTGTTAATATGGCAATGAATCGGTTCCATAGAAGAGATGGAATTTCTTGACCAGAGCAACTGCCAGCTTCTCAAAGAGGGCGCTACATCTTGGAGTTCATATAACGTATCCTGATTAACCTCTCCTTTTGCATAAAACTGTATCTCTCCCTTGGTTTGTGTTTTGTGCACCTTTTGCATTCAGGGTATAAGGTGGACACACATGGGGAAGGTCCATTCCATCTGTGTGTCTGTCGCACATTCAGTCTTTCAATCCATCTAATGGATATCAACAGAATGTGGCATAAATATCTTCATCTAATAGCAGATGGAAAAATGTCGTTGTAACCCTCATTTCACCGTAAACTTGCGGTACGTGTAACTAAAATGTAAACCTTAAACTTCTTTGCATTTAGAGTATAAATTGAACACAGCGGGAAGGTTGTATCTCTTCAGGTATCAGTTGCATGTTTAATCTCTCAGTCGACGTAACAGATTTCGATGAAATGTGTGTGGCACGAGACATATCTAACAGTTTTTGGAAGAATGTAAATATACGAGGGCTATTCGGAAAATAACCTCCGTTTGTTTTAGGTAGATAATGTAGGAGGGGGAAAGCTCGCGCATGCGAGATAGAGTTACATGGCTCTTTGCCTTATAAACTGTCACATAACTGGTCGCCTATTGTTTGTTCTTGTCTCTACAGAGTGAGTTATTGTGTGTCCTGCGATTGATAATCGCACCAGCTGCTAAATTCGCGCTGTTACCCGCTTTCTTTACGCTAAAAACATGAGCGCTGCGGAAATCCATCGTAATTATACGAGGCGGTTTACGGCCAAAATGTAATGAGTGAAGGAATTAAGGAACTATAAGAATATACAAAAATGGACCAACAAATGTTCACAATGAAAAGCGAAGTGGCTATCTGTAGTGAGCGATGATCTTGTTCCAAGCGTTGACCCCCNCAAAAAAAAAATGTGAAAGACGGACCTTCACAATTTCGGAACTTTCCTGTGAATCTCCACAAATTTCACTCACACTTCTCTACGAGATTATCACAGGCTAGGCTATCACAGGTTTTGCGCAAGATGGTTTCCGAAAACGCCACAGGCACACACAAAACACAGAGAATGGCTTCGGCTTTGACTTTTTTTAGAACGGTACCCCAAAGCTGGCGATGAATTTCGTAACCACATCTTACGAGTAACGTGTAATGAAACCAGGGTTTCACTTGTGAATACTGAAACCAAGGAGCACTCAAAGCAGTGTATGCACACACATTCACCAAACAAGCTGAAAAAGTTGAAACAAACGACTTCCTGCTGGAGAGCTGATGGCATCTGTTTTATGGAGCAGGAAAAGAGTGCTGATGGTGGAATTCATTCAACAGGGGACCACCATAACGTCACAAATGTGAGACACTAAAAAACTGTGCAGGGCAATTCAGAACAAAAGTTGTGAAATGCTGACATTGAGTGTAATATTCCCCCGTGACAATGCACGTCTGCATACAACTACTGGCACTGCTGGAGCATTTGAAGTTGGAATTGTTTGACCACTCTCCTTACAGCCCTGATCTCTCTCCAAGCGACAGCGATCTGTTTACCTACCTGAAGAACTGGTTGGGATCACAGCACTTCAACAGTAATGAGGAGCTGATGGAAGGTTTCAAAATGTGGCTGAGCTCACAGGCAGCAGACTTCTTCGACACAGGCATACAAAAACTTACTCCTTGATATGACAAGTGCCTCAGTTCTGATAGTGACTATGTTGAGAAGTAAAGCACAATAGATCACTGTAGGTCGCGGTGCAAGGGCCAAGAAGGCCCACCCCTTATACATTCATTCATTCATTCGTGTTGAGAAGTAGCATAAGTATGTACATATTTTTTGTATGCTCGTATAATATTTTTTTCTCGTTGCTTGTTTTGTTAACAGCTCACCATATGTACTTTCCATAGGTTACTTTCCAAATAGCCCCTTGTACTTTACATGGAGATGGAATTAAAATCTTATAGTACCTTTAAGGCTGTCCATTGTTTGAGAAATTGATAACTAATATAAGAAAAGAACATCTAATAATTAGTTTTAAGTTTTATTGCAACCCATTAGATTATGTACATTGATTGGAATTCAAAACAAAGTAGTACAGAGCTGTTTATTATAAATGATTTGGGTCACAAGAAATCAAGCGTATCTTCGAAACTGTTACAGATGCAGACAGGAAGCACTTTAATGCAGAAAGGACACTAAGGTTTCGTTGGCAATTACGATTGCAATTGGTGCCCTGATCACTATCAAAGGAAGATGAACAAAAACCTACCAGAGGCTTTGTTAGGATGTGCAGGACCCTTTCTTTGGCACCTTAGATCCCCAGACCGTGTTCCATGAGACTTATAACTATGGAGATATTTGAAAGACCAAGTATACCAGCCACTGAGTCTCTTTAAGAGAATATTTTGCAGGCCATAGCTAACATCACTGAGTTACAGTTGTGGTGTACATGGGAAGAATTTTAATATTGTTTTGATGTTTGCAGAGTAACTAATGGAGTACATATGAACATCTGTAGATAAACTTTGAGTTTCCTTGCTGTTTTCAAGTTTTTCACGCTTGTACCCATAGCCATATACTAATTTCTTATCTACTTCCATGCACTAAAATATCTCTTCTGTCCATTAGCTTTGTCAATAGCCAAATTTACTTTCTGAATTGCAGTGTCTCAGTATGAAATTCACAATCTTTTATTTTCTCATATCCTATGAAAACTTAAATTTTGAAATACTGTATCTTTCATATTCTGTTGGTGTAAAACTTGGTCCCATACCTGAAGATAAGAATATAAATTGAAGGTATTTGCAAATAGAATGCTGAGGAGAATATTTGGAGAAAGGAAAGAAATAGGAGGGTGGAGAAAATTACATAAAGAAGAGTGTCATAATTGGTATACTTTTACAAATGAAAGGGAATGAGGTGGATAGGGCCTGTAACCCACATAGGAGGATGAAAAATGTATACAAAATTTTAATCTGAAAACTTGAAGGTATTGATCCGTATGCTTTATTATGAGAGACATAGCTACCTGCTGTTAACTGGTGGAAGCATACTGTATATTTCCATTGTGATTTAAGATGGTATTACTTAATGTATAAATACATTTTGTTTCAGGTTTGTGTTAAGTTCCTGGAGGTGTCAAACAACTGGAGTGGTGTAATTCGCTTTGGATTCACTTGTAATGACCCCAACAATCTTCGATATGGTCTTCCTAAATATGCATGTCCAGGTAAATAGTAACTTGAGCCTTTGGCATACATAGATTGACATCAACACATTTGTTTCTTTCTGATTTAGTTATTTTATACAAACATAAGACAAGCCCCTTCTATACTTGTATACCTAACTCCATGGGGTAGAGTGAAGAAATTTCGAACTCCTACTAATATAATTTTCTTCAACCTCTTGTTACTTGCTTTTTCTCATAGATCATTGACATGTTGCCAGATTTGAAATGGGAAAACCACTCGTAGACCTGTGATTTCCCCAAAGCATCATCATTAAAGGCTTGCCGAAGCATCCCACCAGTCTCGGCTGCAGTTTTCCCTAACAGAAAGCAAAATTTCACGCACACTCTTTGTTCCTTCTGGTCGGCCATCTCACTAATCGCCAAAGGGTTGAAACAGGAACGCACACAACAGAGCACCACAGACAAACCACTTAACTCAGACTGACGCCAGCTCACTAACAGGCGCAGGAGACCCCCAGCTAACACCACCTAGCAGCACAACTCGTAACTACAAAGCATGCGCGCGCAACAGGTCGGTTCGGTTATTTTTGGGTCCCCCTTCGTATGTAGGATTACAAAATACAGTGAACGAAATGGGTTAATGTCCAAACACATCCAAGTTTCCAGGGATTTTGGAAAGTTCTGCTGTAAAAACATCAGTCTTGACAGAAGAAAAATGTGAATGCAGAAGTGGGTGGTTTGTTTTGAGAAATTCTGAGTGGAGAGTGTTTGTTGATGCAGATGGTAATACCAGTACTGCACATGTTGAAAGACAAGACTCAGGCTGAATTAACGTTTCTGATGCCAAGGGAAGTATTGCTGAACAGTTAACATGGTTTGGAAGAAAATTCTTGATTCTGGCTTCTGATTTCGTACTCTTTTATGTGGGCCTTACTTTTTTTTTTCTTGTTACTTGTTACTTGTTACTCAAAAATGAATCTGTCTTAGTTCAGCAATGTAGAAGACCATGAAATTCTGTAAACTCAGTAACGAGATCAGTCAGCAGGTTCTAAACAGAATTCTAGTTAATGATGTTGTACAGACTGTATTGGAATTGAACTAAAGGTCAGTTGATGGAAAGGCATGTGTTCTGATTGGGTGAGCTTATTGAGATTATTTCAGAGCAATGGTTTTCTGTGATTCTACATTGTAGTGAATTGCTTGGATAGTACCTTAGTAAGAACAGGGAAGTTTTTATTTTACCACAAAGAAGTCCAATTTTGTGTGCTCTTTACAAGAAATATGTGGAATAAACACACAATAAAGACAAAATGTATGTGTGCATGTTCACTTGCATGTGAGCTAATGTAATAAACTTCATGGAACAGAGTCCTTGTTGAAAAGCTAATAGTAGCTCAGCTGCTCAAGAAATATCCCATGTTTCATGAAACCCGAAGGTTCATTACTGTTTTGCAAGAGTCCTTTGGTACCTACTGAGCTGGATGAATCCAGACTCTACCCTGACACTTCTTTACAATCCTTTTTAATATTTTCCTCCCATCTAGGCCTAGGTCTGCAGAGCCCTCTCATCCCTTCAGATTTTGACTTAATATTTTTTATGTATCTCCCCCCTCCCCCACTGCCTTGCTAAACTCTAGTGACAACACCTGAAAGCCAGAATAGTTCATTGCTAGGCAACAGCTCGGTCAACAGGTTCACATGGAACACTCACGCAACAATAGAAGAAACTATTTCTAAGCACGGATCGCTAAACTCACAACAGTAAGGGTATTTTTGGAGATGGTGTTTTCTGTTCTGTCCTTGTAAAGTAGTTATAAAGAAGAGTTCAGTTGAGAAGAGTCAGTCGAGTTACAGAGATCCAGATGAGCAGTTAGTTAAGAGCTGGGCTCTACACGAAGGTGATAGAGAAGAGAAGACATAGTGTGGTTTGTGAAGTGCAGTAACAAGTTGTATCAGTGTACATTAAATCTGGTCAGTCCAAAACCTGTCTATTGACCAAATATGTGACAGTATTTAATAGATTTAAATTAAATTAGATATCAATGGTCTAAGCGCTGTTGGACACATTTTTTTTCGGTCTGTATCAGTCCCTTATAACCCCTGCATTATCTCTTGCTCTCAGATCTAGAGCCGTAGTTTAGTATCATTATTGGCTCTAGTTGAAGCTGTTGTGGCAGTATGTACTTTCATCATCATCATCGGCTATAGCTATAGCCTGCCTTTAGAAGATTCTGCCAGGTTTATCATCCAATTTTCACTTCTTCAGATTTTGCAACAGTAATTTTTTACAGAGTGAGGTCATCAGCCTTGCATCCAACCCCCAACCTGGAGAACCACATCTCTGTAGTTATGTCCCCCAGTGACAGGGTGGCCCAGTTATATCCCTAGGTACCAAGTTCCCCTTTTTTTGCCTTCTATGGTTTGCTGGGCTACAGTCGATATACTCAAATCCACCTCCACATGGGTTAACATGTACTTTATTTTTACTTATTCTTTTAATATCTGAAATTATATAGCACTGACTGGTATAATGTTTACTGAATGATTAATTGCTAATTAATAATCACACAATAAAGCTACATTCTAGCCAACTTCAAGGCAGTAACCAGTAAGTACTGAATAGAATTGTAATCATGCTACTCTATACAGCAAGCATATAATGGTTAGCAACAGTCTGAATGAACAGCATTAATCAACTTGTTGATAATGTTATGATTGTGTCCACCTTGTCTGCCATTGTTTATCCAGCTTTTCAGTTGGGATCAGTGGGATTCGATGCATGTAATCCCAGGAATAGAGAACATCTTTACCGAATCAAGTGAGTGGCAACATAATTTGTGATCTTAGAATCATGGGGCTAGGTGGAGTGGTCAGAAGCACTGCTTTAAAGTGTATTCCAGCATTTGCCAGGAGGAAGTGAGGAAACAGATGTTTCTGTCAGAATATCCAGTCTGGAGCTCCTGATTGTGAAGCAGGAACAACATTTGGTATTATTAATAATGTTACCACTGTAATTTGTAAGTTCAGTCCTTTGGAGCTTCAGAATGTACTGTCAGGGGTCTTACATTTGGGATGGTATGCTTGACAGTTTGCAGTTCAGTGTTGCATTGAACTCAGCCATGCAATATGATATGGCCAGAAGTTATAGCAAATTGTTTATTTCAGATCTGACAAATAAGCCTGGATACTGGGCTAAGGCATTAGCAGAGAGGTTTGCAGAACGAGACACCATACTTTTCTACTATGTGACCCAAGCCGGAGATGTGCACTTCGGTATCAATGGTGAAGAAAAAGGAGTATTCTTTAGTGGTGTGGAGACAAGGGGACCACTCTGGGCTATCATTGATGTTTATGGAAACTCTACTGCTATTGAGCTGGTTGACCCTCGACAGCAGCTCAACAATTCTCGCCGTAATCTTGCTGTGGGAGGTGATGCCAGTCCTGGAGATTCAGCTGCAATGGAGCGCCTTATCCTTCCATCTCTCACTGCTCTCACAATCAATCAGCAGAATCACCAGCAGCCGCAGTCACAGCGGAATGCAGCAGATGATTCTACCACCAACGACATGCCTGGATCAAGATTCCAGCAGCCAGGAACCTTTTTCAACCCTCTGCCATTCCACAGGTATGCTATGAACCACTGTATTTTCCAACAGACACAATATTGTGACAAAATTATTCCACACGGTATATCTGTTCACAAGCCCAAAAATGATCTTGTACTCATGGAGTTAATGTTCAGTGAATTATAATTTGTCACTTTATTGCAAATGTTTGGGTTATGTATATTATTAAACATGAGCATAATATTCATGATACAGGCCTTAGATCTGTCCTGTAGAAGTTTGGCATAAATGTTAATTTTTAAATACAAAATATAAAATAGAAAGTTCAGCTGAAATGATATTTTTAAGAAGTGAATTCTTAAGAAATTTATATTTACATGCAAGCATCAGTGACTTGGGGATAGATGGTTCCCATCTTGTTTTACATCATGCAGTGTATTGCCTATATTTAAGATGTCTAGAAAGCAGTCATGAAATGTGAGAGCATCAAAAGAAATTGCATTCAGTGTATAACATTATATTTTAAGGAAGTTTGATAGTGTAGAAAATTTGATCTATGTTGCCAAAATATTAGTGCATGTTGCAACTGCAGTAGAAACACATCAACACTTACAGTGTATGTGTCAATGGGGAAGTAAGGTTTGCATTATAAATCTTCATGAAGCAGACAAACTCTAAAACTTGCCCCTTCTGTACTGTGGGAATTTGCTATATTTCATATGCACATGAGGAAGGGTACAGTGTACACACCTGGAATATATTCGGAAATTTCTAATGTTTGTAACTGCACTTTTCTGAAATATTAATCTATCAGAACGCTTCAAAGTTCATTGTATTATATAATTGATTGGACTGACTCTTAAAATTTCCAGCAGATCTTTAAATACACTGTGGAAAAGATGGTACCCTGATGTAGGACGTTCAGAGAATAGTTGATTTTTGTTTACTTTCTGTGCCCTCACTATTATTGACATTATCTTTATTCATTTCTTTCTTGGAAAGGACATTTGTTGCATGAGGTGTTTGAATTTCTTAAATTTAAAAAGGATGAAAAGAGACAGTGGTATATCAAGAACTAGAATGGGCAGCTGAGGTTTTTGTTAATTGTTATAGGACACGTGGTCGTAACATCAGGCTCAGCAATGATCGTTGTATTGCAAGTCGTGCAGACACTGAATTCTGCCATGGTTATGTGTTCACTACACGGCCTATTCAGCTTGGAGAGAAGGTTGTGATACAGGTCCTGGCAACGGAACCTATGTATGTTGGAGCATTAGCGTTTGGCCTAACTTCTTGTGATCCTGCCATGATTCAGGGAGTAGATCTTCCAGATGACTCTGATCTCCTACTAGATCGACCTGAGTACTGGGTGGTCAGTAAGGATGTTGCCAGTTGTCCTCAACGAGGAGATGAACTTTCATTCTGCATAACACATACAGGTTTGTATCTTCATCCCTAAAGTACAATAAATCATTGATCGTCGTGGTGCAAGGGCCAGATTATTATGACCCACCCCTCATACAATCATTCATCTCTGTCTCTAGTGTATTGAGAGTTGTTATTAACTGTCTATTGAAATTCGCCTGCTAATACTGTAGAGTTGTTTTCAGTTAGCAAGAAATGCACTTCTGCTGGCCAGATCTTGTGTCCTCATATTCAGGATATTCTGGGTTCTATCCTGCACTGGAAACTTGCTATCGAGACAGATATTTCTTAGTCCTTCCAGTCAGATGCCATGATAATGCCTAGAATTATTCCATGATCACTTCTTTCCGCATCCTTTTAATCCATTATTCATTAATAATTTAATCATTCAGTATTATACAATCTTAGAGATTGAAAGCATTGTTAAATAAACCAAGAAATGAAACACTTTTCTATCTGATCTGTGTTGAAAATTGTTATATGCTTTGTTTCCTCAAAGCTTGTGACATCTGAAAATTCTGAAGTAGATGGATCTTATCTGTAAAAAGGAGAGAATGTGACTGAAGTTAGCTGCAGTGTTAGGGGATATTATGGCCCCTAGATCATGAGCTTCTTTGAATTAAGAATACCTTTATTGGTAGTATATTTGTTAAAACTGAGTATGTTCCTGTAGCTTCTTTTAGTGTTAAAATACCAAATTAAGAAGAATGCCAACTGGCCTTCATGTTCGTTCATTCATTTATTATTTTATCATCATTTATTCATGTATTATTATTATTATTGACAATTTCTGATTTTCTATACCTGGCAGCTATGTCATTTGATGTCGAACATTTCAGTATATCTTAATGATAATGCTGCAGTTGTATTGGGCTTCGTCCATTGCCTGAGTACATTAAATGTACATCCCGTTTTTGGAGTTGTTATACTGCTATTTTCAGATGATAGTTATTTTTGTACTGATCTCTAACAATGCTTAACATATCCATTATAATACTGCACTGGCAGTTTCCTTGACTTGCCCCACCATTTTGACTCTGCCATGTGGTTTCCTACTCCTCCACTGTGCTCTGTGCGTTTCTCAATTTATGGGTTTTTTTTTACACATGTAGTAATTTTCTGAAATGCCCCCCCCCCTTAAATAATGAGAATAATGTGCACATCTGTAACTCCAACAGAGAGAATTGCCTGACGTAACTGTGATGTAAAGAATCTAAAATTATCAGAAGCCTTTAGCAGATACTCACTTTGTAAGGTTGTAGGTTTCGTGGGGTAGGGCATCACATGTTAGAAAAGTATTTCTTCTTTTTTAATGTTTTACATGTGCTGTGGATCTGGGAAATCATTACACCCCTGTGTGTAAATGCCTTAACAGACTGCTTCATTCCTGATTATGACTCTGTCCTTTTTACGCATATTATTAAATGTTTCAGGCGAGGTCCAGTTCTCAAAAAATGGCAGTACGCCCGTGGTGTTCATGCATGTGGACCAGACACTGCAACTGTGGGCGTTCTTTGATGTATATGGCAGCACACAGAAAATTCGCATCCTTGGAAGCTGTGTCGAGCCACACCATCCGCACTCCTCTTCAGGTCTGTCAGTGTACACAATGCAGTAGATGGAGAGTTCTGCCTCATAGATACTGCAATAGTTATTGCACTGCTGATGAGTTTATTTATTTTGCAGAATTGCTGTGATATGGCTTGAGACTGCTGTTTTCTTATCCCATACTGATTCATAATCGTTAAATTTCCCCATAATTGTCTCATTTTACAGAAATTCAAATGAAAAACTGGGAAACTTAACATTGAAGTGTCCAACTGTTTTAGAATATTTGGATTCAGCTTTCAAGTTAACACTGTTATTTTAATCCCTTAATAAATGTAGACTAATTTTAATCATGTTTCATCAAATGACAACATTAGTAACAAATTTTGACCCTGTTCTTAAAATTGTAAGGAACCAAGGCATTTAATTCCTCATTCTTCCTCTCTAGAACTCTGACAAGGGAGGTTGACTAAGGTAGTGTGATGATGTGGTAACCAGCTAACCAGCCAGCAAATGAACACACTTTTCTTGAGTGAATGGGTCCATAAATGATGGTGGTTTGAAAGTGTGTGCTATGTGGCTAGGAATGTCACGTGCTTTCTCTCTTGCTCTATGTGTAACCAATCAACATCATTTACTAACATTTGCTGTTGGAGTTTGGTTTGACAGGATGCATGTCTCCTGATGTTTTAGATGTGTCTTCTTCAAGCTAGCAGTACAGTATGCCTAGTTACGAATTTCTGATCTGCTGCCATGCAGGGTACATATAAATACCATGAGTGCTCAGACAAGTTATCAGTGAATCTGAAGGCTCCCAGAGCCATCAGACAGTAAAGTGTGGTCATGGGTCCTGTGGGGCTCATAACCAAGAACCATGCCAGCAAGGACCAGCAGCAGTCAGTCAAGTTATCAGTGATTTGAAGAAACAGTGATACTGGGCAAATACTGACTTCCTGAATGTTTAGGAGTTAACCCCATGTTTCGTCCCCAATGATTTGCGTTTGCAGCTGGTTTAGTCTTGTCTAAATTTAACATAGTGTGACATGACACCTGAATGACAGAATAGTGGATCCAGAAGAGACTGCCATTTCTAGGCCACGGTTTGATAAACATGTGTCCACGACAGTGGATACACATGCAACAGTGGAGGAACTGTCGGAAGCAGTGTTTTATTTGTGGTCTGTGCTGAGGCTAGGCCATCAGGGAAAGAAGGCGAAGCCAGACATAGAATATATAAGAGGCTTAAACTTGACAATGGTCAAGCTTATGACCATTCAAGTGACTAAGCCGCCATTGTAGCATAGGATAAGTAAGATAGACATGATCTGCTTTTCAAAGCCTGGACTGACAGAGGACTTATATATAGTGTAAAATGAATTTTCAGTAACTAGCTATGTGTGCAATACATACACTTGACAGAGACCAAGCCTATTCATAAGAGACAAACCCATCCTCTCATTAGAGAGGATGTTACATAAGGCAAATGACCAAAAGGGGCTCAGTCCCCCTCCCCCTCAAAAGTAAAAACCTGGTCATGAGCCTCAAGTGGCTTGGGGCCAAAACAGACTGATTGGCTGTAAACTGCCAGTTGTAAAGTAACTCTGACTTAGTTAGATAATCATGGCTAAGAGTTACCATCATGGGCCAATTTCTGTCAATAGTGAATGATAGCCAGTGAGTCACCAGTTGAGGACCAGTTCTGAGATGGTAGCCAGCTGGCAATGTCATAAGCAGGAGAGCAGAAAATCTCCATTGTTGGAGGTGAGGTATTATGTGCCCTGTGATTGATAATCTCAGCAACTGTGAAATTCATGCTGTTATCTGATTGCTTCACAAGAGAAACGTGAGTGGTGTGGAAATCCATGATGAACAGCACAGTAACATATACTTAGTTTTCTCTGTGGTTACTTCTAGACCAACCTCATTACTAGCATCAGTTAAAGTTTGTGAGTTTCTCTTTATGGTATTGTGACATGTTGCGCAACAAAGGACCCCTACCTCCCCAGCGGTATGTGGCGGTAACGTAGCGCTCGCGTTACTATGGTAATAGGCGAGTCATCACCCCGCCACTCCCTGCGGTGACGTCACGAGCAGAGCCAAAGTTAGCCGAGCCCCCGCAACCTGGTAGCTATGCAACGCGAGTCAACAGCGGTGATGTAACAGGATGACGTGGCACTCATTACGCAACAGGCAAGCACTGCGACTATATAAGGGAACTGCACAGCAGCTACGAGTCGAGTTGTAACATAACAGTCACCGAGTTGAGTTGTAATGTGGCCATCACCGAACACAGTTCGAAGTTGTAACGTAACAGTCGCCGAGTCGAGTTGAAATATAGCAGCAGTCCTCGAGCTACCTCAGAGTTAGTTCCGAGCAAGCCTACGAGTCAGTGCGTTATCAACAGTTCTCCTTTCAGACGACTACAGTTGGAGTATAGCAGCCGCCGCGGAAAGAAGAACCGGACGTGTGTGTGATTGTGTAATTGGGAGCGTGTGATACAGTGATACATAGCTCCCCTACTGTAAACGTGTAGACTACTGAACACAGAGTGAGCTGATTTGCGCATAGGGTTATAAAGTGTGAAACCCCGCAACTGTGTGATAATTAATTGTAGCCGTTACTTGTAGGTTGTTGAATAAACCAATTAACAATCTGAACGGCGTCTTCAGTAACAAAACACGTTACAGTATCAATATTATCACCCGGTAGATTCACATCATCAGCATAGACCAAGAGTTGATTTGTCCCATTTAATTTCATTCTCACCTTGTTTTCCTGGACCTTCCTGACACAGCAATGTGTGCGGTGGTCGTCACACTGGTATGGGGTCTAGCGTTATTGTGTTGCAAGCGAAAGGTTGTCTGCTTCTCTGGCCTGACTCAGGAAATGCAGGCTTTCAGCTTGGTCACTGTCCTCTTGTAGCATTCAGAATTGACAGTCTCACCAGGCTCCAGGAAGTCCAACAGAATGACACCCCGCCTATCCCAAAAGACCAGGCACATCATTTTCCCTGCCGATGGCTGTGCCTTGAACTTTTTTCTTCTTGGGGAATCCGGATGTCGCCACTCCATAGACTGTCTTTTGGATTCTGGCTCATAGTGGTGACACCACATCTCATCTCCAGTGACGATGCTGTCCAGAAACTTGTCACCTTCAGCCTCAAACTGGTGCAACAGATCCTGACAGACTTCCATTCGATGAGTTTTGTGGTCCTGTGTAAGCATCTGTGGGACCCATATGGAACAAACTTTGCGATAATCCAGCTTCCCCAACATCGTTTCCAATGCATTACAGCAGATATTAAGTCGTGCACACAGTTCCCTGGTCATTATCTGCTGATCTGTATGGATGAGGCGCTGTTCATTGTGAGGAGTGGCAACTGAGCAGGGACGCCCAGGGTGCGGTTTATCGTCTGCTTCACTTTCACCGATGTTCAAACGCACTACCCACCGCCTCACTGTGCTGACATCCACTGTATCATCTCTGTACACCTTTAGCAAGCATTGATAATGTCAATGGGTGCAATTTGTTCGGCAGTGAGAAATTCAATAATTTCATACACACTTCTATGTCAGACGCCATTTTGGTAGACTGCTTTGCTGTCGCTATCTGTCACATGACAACCAAACTAACAGTACATTGGCGGGAAGGTTCAACCTTTACTACAACATCACCAACATCCCCCTCAGATGTTACATATTAACACAAAAGAATAGGAGGCATTATATACGGAACGCCCTTTGTATATACATGCAATAACTGAGAGAAGTAGTTCCTCTTCCTATTCAGAATGTTGTAGGAATCTGCAAGCAGATCATCATTCTCATCCTTCACTAAATTACTGCTAAGGCCGCGACGTAGCTGAAGCGGTTAGTTGCTGGCTTCCCACCGCGGCTGCCCGTGTTCAAACGCAGGTTTGGTCAAGTGGGATATGTGGTGGACAAAGTGGCCCTGGGTAGGTTTTCTCTGAGTACTTAAGTTCCCCTGCCAATTTTCATTCCACCAAATTCTCCATCATCATAATCACCCAGGGCAGGTACAATAGGCCAATCAGTGGTCGCCATGCCAAGTGGACCCAGTTGGACTCCATCCCCCCCTCCCACTATGTGAAAAAAGTTACTGCTAGGTTAGTAACCCCTCTTAAAGTCATTTATTCCTCTATACAGGTCTCTGATGTTCTTATTCTTACTGTTGGTTGCAAGCTCATAAATTTTGTCTTTCAGATATTCCCTCTTTCTATTCCTGACATGCCTGCTGGTTTCACGTCTTATATTGTTCAGATTATCCCCATTTATTTCACTTGGATTATGTAAATGCTGCAATTTTGCTTGTTTTCTTTGGTCCGATAATTTTGAGTATCCATCATCAAACCATGGCTTATGCTTCTTCGGTTCATAATAACAAAGACTCTCTTTGGCAGAAATATTTATATTCTCTCTAATAGTTTCCCAATCATTATTAACATCCACCTCAGTGTCTATTTTTTCCAAAGCTGTGAACCTATTTGAGATTTCAGCAAAATACTACTACTCACCATCTGTCTCACTTAATCTCTTGAGATTGAACCTCTCCATATGAAGACTTTACATTGTTTGCTCACTCACTGCCAGTCTTTCCCTAACCTTTGACACCACCAGTTAGTGGTCATTATCATGATCTGCTGCCCTGAATGATCAGACATCAGTTATGCTTGAATGCCCGTCTCCTGTCTATCAAAACATGATCAATTTGGTTGTGTGTCTTCCCATCAGGAGACATCCAAGTAAATTTATGGATGTTATGATGGGGGAGCATTGTACTTTTGACAGTAAGATTTTCTGATGTGGCAAAGTTTACTACTCCAACACCATTATCATTACTAATTTCATGCAAACTCTCATTCCCAATCATTGGTTTGAAAATGTCTTCCCTGCCTACTTCGGCATTGAAATCTCCTAACAAAATTTTCATATGGTACTTCGGGAATTTGACCACCTCTGTGATCTAGTGGTCAGAGTTCCTGACTACAGATCCAGAGGTCCTGGTAATAGTGGCTCCAGTCCAGAAAACCTAGATAACAGCCATGGGGATCCATTGCGCTGACCACGCAACACAAGTGCCGACAAGTGGCAATCGCTTGGTTGGTCTAGTTCACCTGCAGACTAAAGGCCATGGAGACTTTGGGAATTTATCAAATACAAGTTCTAGTTCTTCATAGAACCTGTCCTTTATATCATCAGTTTTATCTTCCATTGGGACATGAACATTCAGAACAGTGATATCACACCAACGACCTCTTCGTATTACGTATGAGCTGAATTTGTATACAGTTCCAAATTATTTTGTAAGCTAATTTTATTATAATTTTGTTGTTGACTTTAGTTGGGTCTCATTCCAGGAGGAACTGGCTGTGATCATTAGGGTTAGCTTATATAAAACAAGCCTTAATTTCTCCATATACAATTTCACTGAATTCCGAATGTTTGATTTCAAAGGATCAAGAAACTCATCTCCACCACCAAGAGTGATTGATCCTACCCTAGCAGCTGGACGCCTCCGTGTGAATCTGCCCTGCACCACAAGTAATGGCACCAGTAGCAGCATCAATGGCTTATCAGAAAGTCATGGCCAACATAATGGTGTGCCAGTTCCTGTATCTGTCTCACAGCGGTTCTGCTGCACAGGGCCGACACCAACTCCAACAGCTACTGCTGAGTTGGTACAGTATCAGCCATCAGTAGGAGGTGGCACTGTTCTTGTAGTGAATCTCCCACCAGCCCATTCAAACTACCTCAACCAACAAAATCAGCAGAACCAACATCAGCATCAGAGTGCATCACCTGCAGTGACAACACAGCATCACATGCAGTCTTCACAACCTCCAGTACCTGTTGACCTTCAGCCATCTTCCTCAGGCACTCTACTTTCTACATACAGTCACACCTATATTGAGGTGAGTGCTAAGAGTATGCCCCAGAGATTCCTGTGGTTAGCATACTGAGTTAATATTCAGAAGGTCCTCACTTTTATTCACACCATCATCACTAATTTTAAAATAAAGAAAAAATTTTGTTGGAGTAGAGCAAACTCCCAGCTTGCCCATCTGTTATGGAAGTGATATGCACAGTTTGTCCAGGTTCTGTTAGGACTGTGTTCATTAAAAATAAAAGACGTGAATTATTTTCAAAATTTCACTCTTTTTATTCAAAATAGTCTTCTTCTGAATCAATACATAGCTGGAATCGATTGAAAAGTTTTCGAAAACAGTCACTATACTCCTTTTGTGGTATCACATTTAAAACTGTGGTACATTCCCTTTGAATGTCCTGGATGGTGTCATGACGGTCTCCTTTCTTCGCCAACTTAACATTTGGGAACAACCAGAAATCTGCTGGAGCCAAATCTGGCGAATACAGAGGATGATCAATGACTTCATTCCCTTTTCTGTTCAAAAAATCGTGAACGATCTTCAATTTGTGGGGTGGGGCAATGTCGTGGAGGAGCGACCAGGAACCTTGCTCTCAATATTCAGGTCAAATTCGAAAAATTCTCTCCCACAAACGATTGAGGACTCTGAGATAATAATCAGAATTCACTGTTTGACCTTCTGGCAGAAATTCCTTGAGAATGATTCCTTTGGAATCGAAGAAAATGGTTATCAGTGTCTTTACTCGACTCTTTTGAATGCGCAGTTTCTTTGGTTTCGCCTTCTTTGGGCTCAACCACGCTGCACTCTGCTGCTTTGTGAGAGGCTCATATTGAAAACAGCATGTCTCGTCAGCAGTAACAATTGATTTTGTAAATTTTGTATCACTTTGGGCTGACTGTAACATGTCTTTGCAGTGTTCCACTATGGCATGTTTTCCATTGCCTGACAGCGCGTGGTACAAACCGCGCACAGACCTTCTGTTTGCCCAAATCCTCAGTCAAATTTGATGCACAGTACTTTTTGGTATTCCCAAAAGTTCCTCGATGAGTCTTGTGGAAACACGTCTGTCTGATGCAAGGATTTCGGTCACTTTTTTCACATTTTCTTCAGCGTGACATGTTCTGGGCCTTGATGCATGTGGAGCGTCTTCAGTGTCCTCCCTGCTGTTATGGAATACAGCATAAAATCGAAAGATATTTGAGTGACTCAAACAATCACTACTGTACACAATTTTCATCATTTTGTACGCCCCTCCGGCTGTTCTCCCTAACTTCAAACAAAATTTGATGTTGGCTCTCTGTTCAACCACCATTTTCCGACGAGCGTCAGAACAGTACTGTTACATTCAAGCTCAGAACACATGATGCAGTGATGCTTGCACTTTGAAATTACAGACAGCCACAGCCGAAACTTCAAGAATCTTAATGCCACAACTCGCCAACAGATGGCACTGCAGGGCAAAATTTAAAAAAATGAGTCCTAACAGATCCTGGACACACCGTGTATTCTTGAAAATGTATGTCCTGATGTTTCATAGTGGGAACCATTTTTTTCCCCATCGACTCTCAGGTTTCAAGCTGAAATGTGTTCCTACAGAAATTTTTTTTGGTTTGCAATTGTATTAGAAATACATTTCTTTTCGTCATAATAATAGTAGGAACATAAAAATAAACTTAAGAAAACTACTCGTTCTTAAATAATAATGCTGCACAATGTAAAATAAGATTGAGAATAGCAGTCACACTACTTGTTGCCCTCCTGTGTCACAGCTGAATGAGCTCATATGATCTCCACTTTTTGACACATCAGTAATTAGTTTTATATATTTCTTCTCTCAATTAACAGCCTGTGTCAGCAACATCATATTCTACTCTGGACTCGACATCAACAATGCAGCAGTGGGCAGATGCAACAGCAGCTACAGGCGGTAGTGGAACTGAATGCACTATCTGCTACGAGCGTCCCATTGACAGTGTGTTGTACATGTGTGGTCACATGTGTATGTGCTATGAATGTGCCGTCCAACAGTGGAGGGGCAAGGGTGGTGGCCACTGCCCACTCTGCAGGGCTATTATACGGGATGTGATCCGAACCTACAAGTCCTGATAGTGGGCCTTGGCCTCATGCACCCAGCGGCCTATGTCTCTATTCCTGGAGGCAGGCAAAGTGTAGCCCAATTACAAGAGCTTTCCATCCAGGGTGCAGGACATGGTCATAATGGAAATATGTAACGTCCTCAAGTTTGCACTGAGCAGTTCGTTAGCTGTGTTCAAGAACAAAAGCGCACTGGATCTGAGCTGGGTATTACATGGCCAAAAATAATTAGAATGCAAGGAATTAATGGAACATTCCACATCTAAAATGTAATTTCATAATAAAAGTTTTCACGACTAAATCATGACAAGATACACATGATTACAACTGTGATCACTACTAGGTGCTAAGACAGAACCTACTAAAACATTTACAGGACTCCACAGTTGCCTTGAGACCACACAGTCTGTGGTTTCTTTAAAATTAATTTATCTGAATGTTTTGTCATGGTGAATGCAGCACAGTTTGGTTTTGTGGCACCTTTTATTGTGGAATTATACTTTCAAGGCTGGAATGTTAGATGTACATGTGCCCTATTTAAACTGCATGTTTATCCATGTCATGAGATTACATCTTCAGAATTAACTCAGTTAGGAGGCATCCAAGTTGTCATTAATTTATGTAGATGTGATCAATATTAAGGAGATTTTAAATATCTGCATCTTATTTAAGCAGCCAAAAATTGGGCTTCCGTAAACTTTTCCCATCAGAGGTGGTAGAATAATGAGTTTGAACTGTTCAGTGTCTGTAGAGGAATTATTTGATGTACAATTTAATTCTTTGCAGAAATTAATTTTTGTTCTATATGAATCTGTCTTCTGCATGTTGATGTGATGGATCCATGTTACTGCAGCAGTTAGGCACAACGTGACAATGCTAATTTCACGGTTCATAATGTGAGACACTGGTCTACCTTAGCTGAATATTATCAGCTTCAGTGTATACAGTTTCTAACCAAAGAGAGCACAGTAAAGCTCCTGTTGTTTTGATAGAGGTATGTGGGACTGGCAAGCTATAGGTTTAATAAGCCTTTAATTTGGTAATAAAGTCACGTTGTTTTTGGTATTTCACTGATCTAGAAAAGTAGAGTGTTATATACTCGTTTAAAATTAAGTTATGAATTCTTTTTTTACACTGTCTCAGGCTGAAACTTATTTTATGTAAGTTAAATGTGTGCGTGTGTGTGTGTATGTGTGTGCATGCGCACATTTGTGCATGCACCTGTGAGAGATAGAGTAGTTATGTGNATGACCAGTGACCCACCTCCACATACATACACATAATTACTATATGTAATAATACAAATGCTGTTGTGAATGCAACAATTTATTTGGTTGTAGGTCTTTGTCTTTTCTTCCTCTACACTACATGTTTCGGCCATAACTGGCCATCATCAGGTGTATTTTTCACTACATAGCTGTCACACTGCACACAATCCAAAATCTAAAACACCAGCCTGTCAGTTTTGCTTAAAATCTCACCAACATATGCTTGTCAATTTGATTTTAGAATTCCAGTTTAAAATATTTTTTTTTTAAATTTAACATTAAAAATTTAAAGTTTTAAATCACAGGGATACCTGCTCTGTGTCTACATGTGCTGCAGCGGCTACTTCNTTTAAACTGGAATTCTAAAATCAAATTGACGAGCGTATGTTGGCAAGATTTTAAACCAAACTGATAGGCTGGTGTTTTAGATTTTGGATTGTGTGCAGTGTGACAGCTACGTACTGAAAAATACACCTGATGATGGCCAGTTATGGCCGAAACATGTAGTGTAGAGGAAGAAAAGACAAAGACCTACAACCAAATAAATTGTTGCATTCACAACAGCATTTGTATTATTACATATAGTAATTATGTGTATGTATGTGGAGGTGGGTCACTGGTCATATGATTGTTTTTTTATATTGGTAGCAGTGTTATACTTTTCTACTGTGTGTGGTTGTTGGTTTGTCATCCAAACTTGTGGTCAAAGTACATGTAGTAGCAGCAGCATGTTATATGCCAGACCTAAAGTAATCAGCAAATTTGTATATTGTTCCCAGTTGTAGTAAGTATCTATTGTGGAGATCCTACTTCTCCTTTCACTACCAAGACATTCCATATGTGCTCTTCCTGTCTATCAGATGTAGTGAAATTCTAGTCATACTGTAAATTATTAATGGAGATAACTGTGCAGAATATTTCCTAAGCTTTATTCTACCTAGCCACTTGTTGCAAACAAATCTGTACATAGGTATGTTCTTTCTTATTTTTTTTTCTTGTCCTGTGGCTGGTAGTTAAATCAAAGTGTTAGATGGTGTGGTGCAGTTGAAATTGATTGTCTTAACAGAAGCAGTTTGGCTCAGTGGAAAATAATCATGAGAGACAATATTTCACTCAACCATGATGCTGACAACAGAGCACCAAATTGTGGCTTTCTCTGACAGTATAGTTGGAAAGCTGAGTACACCCAGCCTTGAGACACCTACTTAATTATGATACATAGTTAATGCCATGTAATGTGGTACATGCAGCTCTTTATGAAGTCCTTTCTTTATTTGAAATAAGTTACAGTCTGTAAAAATAACTCCCCTCATCTGCTCATGGATTCCGAAAGAATGATCTAGTATAAAATGGGTTTGAAGTAACTTTTATGTTTGGTGTTTCTAGATGTCAGCAGATGTTTGGGATGGTAGCTTGTAGCCTTGTAAAACACCTCGTAAGTTGAAATATAATTTATTGTTATGAGACTATAGTCCCACCACTGAGCAACAAATTTTTAAGAATAATGTGTATCATTGCTTTGTAACATGTGCATACTGATGGCTACTGGTAGATGATGATGATGATCTTCTTTCTGTGTTCTGTCCCTAGAAAGTTCTCTCTACTCCAAAGAGTGCAATGTTTTGATATTTGATGTTAATATTCCCTGGTGTAGAATGGTTCTTCATGTTTGAGTTTGTTGTACAAAGATATGTATGTTTTCCATTTGAGTTGTATGCAGTGAGCTTACATGTCTTAATATAAATATTTGTAAGTTTTCAAGTTATATAACTAAATAAAGAACCACAATGTCAAATGAGATTTTGCTTTATTTATTTAAGTCATATTATGATTCGTAGATTCATGAATGAAGTTTTCCCATGAGCAGTGCCACTTTACAGATATCACTGGCTGCTGTCCATGTAACAGATCCTGAGTTGTTCTGCTGTCAGACAACGGCTCGGTAAACACATTTCCCACAACAAACAGGCTCAACAATAGAAGGACATCCACTGCTAGGTAATGGAGTTGTAAACATGCCTCATTAACAACAGAAGATGGTGTTTTCCATCGTCATGCAGTTTTCAACAACATATCTTTGTGAGAAAGGATTTCCATCACTCCTTCAATTAAAAAGAATACAGAAATCTGTAAGTGCCAATCTTCGGCTGAAGTTGACCAATATTGAGCCAGATATCCAGGAACACCATACGGGCCGACAAGCTCAACAATCATTAAAAGTGGTAACACAATTATATCATTTCATTTATTTCGTGTCCATGGATCATTATACATGATATAAGATATGTCATTCTTGTGTAGTTATAGTATAATAAGTTTCATGATGTTACTATTGGGGGGGCTGCATGTGAAGCATGCAGTGCAACGTGGAATTTGGGTACCAACTCAGCATTTGCTCTGGGACCGAGGAAAACCACGGAAAACCTTGATCGAATTGGCCGGTCACAAGACCTCCCAGATACACTGGTTTCTTTATTTGTTTAATAACGATTAAAACTTCGTTAAATGATGTTCACTTTTAATAGTGTACTTCCAGTTCAATTAATTATGTTTCCATATGTATTCAGAACATGCTTTCAGATTTATTATGTTATAAACGGCACAGTATGTCCCAAATGTTGGTAATACCACATAGTTTTAATCGTTTCTTGCAACCTGTTGTGTTTAATTAATAGTAGAGTGAATTTACCGACTACACAACACGTTTTTTTATTATCACTACATGTTTCGACCTCAAGAGGTCATCCTCAGGTGTATGAACACGGCTGTATAATTACAGGCGGTCACATTCACTTTTCACTCATTCGATCCTGTATCTTATCCAGATTTACGCCCACTAATATATCGAGTTCTTTTTATAAAACATAGGTTAAAATTATTTTTCTAATTTAAATGTTAGAAGTTAAAAGTTCGTGAATCGAAATTCAATTCGTGTCACAGGTTACACTTTCACTTGTTTTTACAGTTTCATTTTACTTACGCTCACAAGTGTGTCTACTTATTTTTTAACTAGTTTAATTATTATTATTATTATTATTATTATTGGTTGAAAGATCGTGAATTAGTGTTCAACTTATGTTATTGGTAGCACTTACACTTGTTTGTGAGGTCTCGCCGATGGACGACAACGATCATAACCATAACCATCATAATATATCCAGCATCATCAGAGAACGCGGAAGAACAGCGAGACCTCATAAACAAGTGAAAGTGCAACCAATAACATAAGTTGAACTTTAATTCACGAACTTTCAACCAGTAATAATAATAATTAAACGAGTTAAAAAAGAACTAGACACAGTTGTGAGCGTAAGTAAAATGAAACTGTAAAAACAAGTGAAAGTTGGACATGTTATATGTTATAAGTTATGGATGTAAATAAAATTGTGAATTATGAATTATGAAGTGTAACCACTGACATGAATTGAACTTCGATTCAGGAACTTTTAACTTTTAACAATTAAATTAGAATAATAATTTTAACCTATGTTTTATAAAAAGAACTCGATATATTAGTGACGGTAAATCTGGATAAGATACAGGGTCGAATGAGTAAAAAGTGAATGTGACTGCGTGTAATCATACAGCCGTGTTCATATACCTGAGGATAACCTCTTGAGGTGTTGTGTTGTGTAGTCGGTAAATTGACTCTACTATTAATACCACGTAGGTTTAAAAAAAAATAGGCATACACAGGTTAGTGGTCCGTAGAATTTTTTACTGGTCCTTGGGCTTCAAAAGGTTGAGAAACACTGTTCTAAAGTGATATGAAAAAAAGTATATTTAAAATGCTGAAATGTAAGTTAGTATGCGCATTTTCTGGCCAACCCCCTTTGGAAAACTGCCACATCCCATGGGGGAAGAAATTCTGGCAACACCCACGGTAATGCATAGTCCTACTGTAAAATATCTGATCATACAAAAACTACCTACGTACAGTTGAATTAACAAAGCGAAACAAATTCTTAGCTTTAATGTTTGTGGCATTTCAACTGACCGCTTTTAAAGATTCTTTGAATCAAATGGATATTCTATTTTAGTTTATTTCTTTAGTACTGATTTCTGTCTATTTACGCAGTCTAACAAGTATGGAGTGTTGGAGGGGGAAGCAATTCTGATTTATTTTAACAGGCAGATCATCCACTTATTCGATGTTACTGAGAATAACCACGGAAACAGAACTAATACAATTTGCATGGATGTGTCTCAAATAGGTAATGGTGGAGACTTGCAAGTTGCCACACTTTTTGGAGCATTCTCAAACAACAATACACCAGTTGGCTCTGCAATGTCGGTTCAGTCCTTCCATCTGTCCACGTATTACAACTTGAGAATCAATGAATGGATGTTCTTGGAATTTGATATTGAGAGCTTTGCTGATCATTATGTTAACAATTCATTTCCTACCTCTTAGAAAACATGCTGCATATCATACGAACCTACAAATACGAGTACACAGTACATGCTATCTTCTGGCATGTGACAATGTGCAATCTTAGTAGATGTTCACTGATGTGTCAGAAGAACTTTATGACTCTGAAGGTTAAGAAGACACATTTCCCTGAAACGCTGGTAAATTTCTACCTTACTGTACAGCACCACATCCCACAAGATAGTACACTTTATTTTTAATGCTGTGAAGAACTGAAATGTCATACTTATATACCCTCCATAGAAAACTGCAGAGTCTTTTATAGCTAAACCAGCTGTTATAAAGTTACCACTGTTCTTTAAAACTTAAGTCCTGAGGAATATCCTATACTGAGAAGCGTTATTGTTATTTTGCTTAATGCTTTTGTTTAATTTTCTCAGTTAAAAGATGTATTCTTGTAACTGTGTTAACTACCTTCCAGCATGGTGCGGTCATTGCTTCTGGGTTGTGAATGACGAAAGGGATGTTCTGATATTTACATCGCGACTCTTATTAAATAACGCTGATGCCAGATATTGGAGAAGAATGTTCCTTTACAGAGGTAAGCCTAAGTAAACAAATTGTATTTTAGTAGATTCTAGGGGGTTCTGACGGTGGTGTATACCACTTAGAATTACTAGGTTCTGGACTTTGTCAATTGTCCGGTATTAGAGAACAGAACATTTTGGAAGTTGGATCTGTTACCATCTTCAGATAAGAGGGAGACACCTGCTGTGTTGTGTTCGTTAGAAAGAGCTAACCTCAATCACTATAATGGACAGCCCATGTCAGTATATCGACAGCTATATAAATACCTGAGACCAGGCTTTGCCGAATGGAGATAACAGGAAAATATTGTCAGTTATAGAATGTAACTATAGATGGGGTTTGGATTGATAATTGGATTTATTGGACACTTTAACACCTAGCTCGTGATTACTATCACACACAGACAAGTGTTGTCAGTCACGGTCTTCATGGTGCTGCTTGGTAGCGGCTTCTAACAGGATAGCGTCCTCGGCTTCCGTACCCAACGGCGCCTGTCCTCACTGGTTGGGGGGGGTTGCTATGTGAGTCGGTCGTGGACGCCAGATCCACAAGGCCACACAGTCCACAACGGACTGACATAGGAACACCCCCCCAAAAAGCTTAAGGGTTAATGCCCTCCCATTAACCTTGCCTTTCNCCCCCCCCCCCCAACACAGTATCCTATACCTGCGCTAACCTTGCTCCTGCCTCAGACCCTTCCCCTCTCCCTCTCCACTGATTTCCCACGTAGACTTGTTTCTCTCTTCCCTGCTCTCATATAGCTGAGTTTATTTCCAACATTAGTCTACTTGCACCTGTTCTCACTGTCTCTTTGCTTGCGGATTTTCTTATTTTTCCTTCTACCCTGAAGATGGAGGCGATACGTTCCTCCGAGACGTCGGTTAACACCACATCTACACAGTGCCACATCCCAGAAGACTGCTTTCTTCATAGTCACCGCCGTGAAAACCTCAAATCTTACAAGGAAAATAGTGACCAAACAAGATGACAAAGCAGGAACCGTCTTGGCTTGTATTCTGGCAGCATTCGGTTAGATTCACTGTCGGGACACCAGTTATCTTGAGGTTTCATTCAGACCATAAGTTCACACTATACAGAAAGTACAGCAAAATTATAGTGTTATGCATTTTAATCTTCACGATTTTAGATAGCAGACGAGAAAACAAAAGGCTCTGAATTGAATGGTATCAAGCAGTAAAGATAAAGTTGCCCCCATGCTTAACTAATTAAGCACTATGAGATGAAAGCATATTGGGGAATGGATGTATAGATCCACATTTTCTTGACTTCGACACTAGCTGAAGGTGAATGGTCAGTTTCACGCCCCTGCCACTTTAGCCCTGTGGAAAGATTGCCCAGTACCTATTGGATAGGAGTGTGAATACAAAATGAAATCACAGGCAGAAGAACTAACTGCGAATCAAAAAACTAAAACAAACTTTAAAAAAATATAGACACTTTAAAATTATCGTTGTTTTCATTGGAATGCTTCTCTGAATGTCAGCTATGATAGCTGCATCAACATGATGGTGCTATAGCAACTGACAATCATCAACTGAAAGATTTAACAACACATTGACTGCCTTGATAAGCACCAAACACTCAACTTCATTTAAAATTGTGGTGTCAGCTTATTCCCATTGAGAAGCATAAATATTGGTTTGCATTTAATATTCACACTTCAAGAACATTATAGGGCAAACTTATCTGTAAAATCTCTCAAGGGGACATCAGAATAGAACCAATACAAAATATATGTTGCTTTCATGACTGTATATGTGAGCAAAGGGCAGTGAATCCAAAATTTTTGTGAGAACAATATACATGATTTGCCACATTGTGAAGAATGGACTAAGGGGCTGCGCTGGCTGCTAGAGGATAGGTTATCAAGTTACAAACAGCCTGACAGGGAGAGAACTGTTGGCTTAAACTGGAATGTGACATGTTAGCTTGTTGTATTGAAGTTGCTGTCTACAACCTTGAAAGAATAGTATGAAATTTCTTTATTAAAACCATCACAACACAACTATATTAAGGTCAGTGACAAGTTTGGCTCTGCTACATGTTTCGGCTACCAAAAACCATCATCAGGCAAATACATGGCCAACATACGAGGAGTGTTCCGTATATAATTCCTCCTATTTTTTTTTTAATGAAAAGTACAACAGATACAGAAAGCATAATAACGCAGTTAAATAGAGCAAGATTTCAGCTACTTACAGTTATTTTTCCACATAATCACCCCTATTCGTTATGCACTTTCGCCATTGATGATCATGAGCCATGTATGCCGCACCTGTAAAAGTCTGCGCCAGCAGAGGCTAGCCACTCTCTTACAGCTGCAATGACAGCATCGTTGTCTGGAAAATGTTGCCCTCATAATCCATCTTTCATAGGCCCAAACAGATGGAAGTCTGAAGGTGCTAAATCGGGGCTATAAGGTGGATGTGGTAGGACAGCCCAGCCAAACTTTGCAATGTGAGCAGTGGTCAAAACTGGTCTGGGGTCTAGCATTATCGTGTTGGAAGCGAAAGGTTGTCTGTTTCTCTGGCGTGACTCGGGAAATGCGGGCTTTCAGCTTAGTCAGCGTCCTCTTGTAGCATTCAGAATTGACAGTCTCACCAGACTCTAGGAAATCCGACAAAATGACACCCCGCCTATCCCAAAAGACCAGGCACATCACTTTCCCTGCCGGTGGCTGTGTCTTGAACTTCTTTTTTCTTGGGGTATCTGGATGTTGCCACTCCACGGACTGTATTTTGGATTCCGGCTCGTAGTGGTGACACCATGTCTCATCTCCCGTAACAGTGCTGTCCAGAAACTTGTCACTTTCAGCCTCAAACTGGTGCAACAGTTCCTGACAGACTTCCATTCGATGAGTTTTGTGGTCCTGTGTAAGCATCTGCAGGACCCATGTGGAACAAACTTTGTGATAATCCAGCTTTCCCAACATCGTTTCCAATGCACTACAGCCGATATTAAGCCATGCACACAGTTTCGTGGTCGTTATCCGCCAATCTGTATGGATGAGGCGCTGTTCATTGTGAGGAGTGGCAGCTGAGCAGGGACGCCCAGCACGTGGTTTCCAGTACTGGAGTTCATTCGTGTATATATGTTGGCCATGTATTTGCCTGTTGATGGTTTTTGGTAGCTGAAACATGTAGCAGAGTCAAACTTGGCATTGACCTTAATATGGTTGTGTTTTGATTTTTTTAATAAAGAAATTGTATATTATAACACAACAGGATGCATGAAATGAAAATTATAGTATGCAATTAATTCAGCAAAATAATTATGTAAAAAAAGTCAGTGGAATTTGACGTTATCGCACCATCACAAAACTTTTTCTCACGCATTTATTCCACTGTATGTTTCAGGCAAGATTGGCCTTCATCAAGTTGGAAAAATATACAGATCTTCTGGGCTATACCTCTGTGTAGGCTAGTGAAAACCTCAAATCCAAAAAAAAAAAAAATGGTTTGCAGAACTTTAAAATTAAATTATAATAAAAAATTGTTTTATAAGTCAGATCATTTTTTTTTTCAAATAATATATTATTTGTGTAGATTGACATATATTAAATCAAATGATAAAAGTTTCTTTATCATTACCCATTTTCACTAACCACATAGCTGACTGCCAGTTGATTAGCATGCCACTATACTGTTCTTCTATTTATGGTTTTGCCCTCAGCACACTGCCTAGTGTGAGAGCTATATAACAACTTCCAAATCCAAAAATCACTAACCATGAACTTTTAACTCTGAAAATTCTTAAAACAATGGCAAGCCCTCAATATTTGATGCAGCATACTCCTGAAATCTGAAGCCAAGTATGATACTAAATGTGTTTATTGCCGTGTAATAACTGAATACATAGTCTTTATGTCTTATAAATTTGGAATACTTTTATTGTCATGAATTGTGATCCAGCTCAGAACCTGTAGCCACTTGTGTTGCATTCAGTGCATCAAGTGGGGGTTTGTACTCAGCTTCAGGACTGCAACCTGCAACAAGTAAAAAGATAATGACAATAACATACAAATTCTGTAAATTTTAAACCTTTTCAGTGGATATCGTGATCAGAATTTCTTTTAGATTGTGGTATTCTGTGTTTGACACCATGTAGTCATTTAGGGGGCTACATGGTGTCATAAGACAAAAGACAATAACTGAAATTTTTAATGTCATGAAAAACCCCATTTTCATGAGGTTCATACTTCAACTCCGTATTCAGGAGGTCCCAGTTCAAAACTCAGTCCCAGGAACTTTGTCGGCTGAGAGTTTTAAATGTCAGCTTTAAAAGTACAGATTCTGATAAATTTAATTTGAAATATTTTAGTAATATGATGTATATTTAATAAAATTTGAGCTGAAAATTAATGATTTTTCTGTATGCGCTATCAGTAACAGAAATAAGCTATTACACCTATATACTCCTTTCTGATGTCCAGTCTCTAACATCTTGTTTTCAACATTAAAGTCACGTACCTGCGGGTAGCATCACATGTTTGAGAAAGCATTCATACAGTACAAAGTGAATCAGGCAGCACAGAAGGGACATGGCACAGAAGATTATAAGTGCCAACTTGCCTCCCACTTCATGGTAAAGCACTCCACCAATCAGACTCCCCATAGCATACCCTACACAAACAGTAGAAAGTGAGAATTAGATGCCTCTCAACATAAGGGAAGAATATTATATTTAAGCATCCTGTTGCACTCTATACGATATATGACATAAACACCGTCCCAAGTGCAACAGTTTATTGTAGTTGTTTTGTCTTGCCCTCTTCTACACTACAAAGATAATGCACAAAGCAGACAGATATCAGCGAAGTAGATTCTGATAAATCAAAACCTGTTGGTAACGATGAAAAGAACAATTATGAAGACTTATGGTTTTAAATTTTAAACTAGATGCAGTGTAACAGCTACGTAAGTGCGTACACCTGATGATGGCCGTTTGCGGCCGAAACGTGTAGTGTAGAAGAGGGCAAGACAAAAGAACTACAATAAATTGTTGCACGTGGGACGGTGTTTATGTCATATAAGGGAAGAACATGGATTTTGTTTCAGAATATGGTAATGAGAATATTTGGGCCTGTGAGAGAGAAAATAATGGGGAACTAGGTAAGATTATGTAATGAGAAGCTTCTTATAAAACTAATATTTCCTGGTCACAGAAAGTGATACAATCCTCTTGGTTCGCACCAGGTGTCAATTTTGATTTCGTGTCCCACAATTTGGAGACCTATATTTCCATGATTGGGAATGATGTACTGGGTAAACAGTGTTCTTGATAGATACAGACACACACACCATTGAGGCATCTCCAAAGATAACTGAACTATTATGAAGGATATCTGCATATTGCTACACTGCAAAATAACAGTTTCAGTTCTTGTGATGCCCGTATGTTGCTTAATATAATAACTGTGGACCAATCTGACCCTGCCCTATTTGGATGTATCTTAACTCTTCTTGTGTTGGTCTAACAAGGCTTTCTGAAGCGTGTTAGCGACTGACACTCAAAAGAGAAAACTATTGCCATTTCTGGATGTGTCACTGTGGAAGAAGCGATATGGATCACTGGGCCATGTGGTTTACAGGAAGCCTACCCACATGAATCGCTACCTACATGCTAGTTTGAATCATCCATCATGAAAATGGTCATTATATCTGCTCTAATTCGGCAGGCCCAGGCAATCTGAAATTCAGACAGTGGGACAGTGAAATACAACACTTGAGAAAAATTTTCCAACAAAATTGTTGCAGCAGAATGAAGATCTTAAACTGAAACAAACCTTCTGGCATGGTCATAAAAAATAAATGCAGTGAACCTTTGTTAAGACATAAGGCTGCAAGTGTAACATTAAGATATCCACTGGCTTTGAGCTTTGAGCCGAATGTCTAGATAATGTGGGACCCTCAACGTCTCACAACCCTATGGGCCTTCATGGCCTGTTACAGGGATAGCTTTACTTTTTTACTTTTACTGGCTGACCAAGAAGAGTATAAACATTTTCTTCATGCTAAGGTCTGTAAAGGATAATCTGGGACAAAATGTGCGAAACATATTGTCATGTGTATGAGTATGACTACAGACAGGGTTTGGATTGGTAACTGAATTTATTGAACACTTACAGACTGTAACTGCAAGTGACTGCAGTGCTACTGCTAATTTACAAAATCTGTGATTCACTACAGCAAGTACTAAGACTTCTCAGGTTGCTGTATCTTCATTGGTTGTCGCCTTGTAACAGCTTTCAATGTTGTAGCTTTCTCAGCTTCTGTATTCATGTCCTTACTAGCCAGTGACTGTCTCACAATTGCCTCATTGCTCCAACTGGCTAACTCCCAGGCTGGTGGCCATCTCACACCAAACTCCTACTGTTCTCACTGCTGTCTCAAGACACCTAATGGCAGCTGGCCCTCATTATATAGCTCAGCATGGATTGCACTTCCGACAGCTCCTCTATTGTTGCGTGTGTCTGTTGCAGTAATTACCTAGCAAGGGACGTTGTTTACCGAGCCATTATTTACCAACGGCCGTTGTTTACAGAGCCATTACTTAGCAATGGCTGTTGTATGGCTGCTTATTTTATGACCGTTGCCTAGCAACAGGTCTACATGCCACAATATACTGAATTCAACATGAATGTGATAAGGTGTTGTGGAACAGATACATACCCTAGAACATGAATGTCACTACATTGTTTTATCCAGTACATTATTCCTTGATGATGATGATGATGACAGAGGTCTCCAAAATATTGCACTTCAACTTTGAAGTGATGTGGTTGGTCACCTGATGAGATTTCATCTTTCATGAGCTTCATAATTTGTAATTTTAAATAACATTAATATGGTGACCTAATCAAGGAGTGTGGTATGGGCCACTCGTATGGCATACATGGGCAAGAGAGAAATTTTAGTTGAGATACTTGAATTTGATGTAATGACAGGGAAAGGATTAGAAGGATTGGGGATAGGGGGACTGGAAGACATTGACATTAATAAACCAACATATAGATGAAGTGAAGAGACCTCTTGTTATCTTAGTTTTCTTCATTCCTTCCAAATATATTTCAGAACAGCACTTTGAAACAGGTTATAACCACTCCATTGGTTATAGGTCACTGTCTGCTGTCATCCTTTCTTCTTATTTGCTACTAAATACAGTCTGCATTTGATTTATCATCATTAAATTTTGAAATACAACACTAAGATCTGGCATATGAAGACCTCTGCATATTAGTTACCCACCAAAGCCGTCGTCCATGCCTGCAACAAGTCCCTGCATTGTAGCAGAGGTTCCTGGGGGTGCCACAGCACTCGCATATGCGACTATAGTGGTGTAGCACATGGCATATGTAGGTCCTTGCATGAACAGTTCCACAGGCAATACCCACCAAGGTGTTGGAATCAGAGAAATGAGACCCAATCGTATAGAGTATGCCAAAAAACACAATGTAAGAGAATGTCCATATCCTATCTTCTTCAGAATTTTACCTAAACAAAGAAAGCATTATAAGTTTCCAGTAGAATGTACTAGAATTCTTTTGATTAAAAAATGGAAGGCTTGCCACATTTTGTCTTCGTTTTAGTAGATTTTGAGCAAGTTTACAGATTTTCATTAAATTATTTACCAATTTAATAAAAATTATTACATTACAGACATCGGAGTTTACAGAGTCAGAAATATGTTTCCTTACATTTCATTAGAATATTCACTCTAGTGAAAAGTGTTTAAAAACTGCAGATTTTTGCAATACACTTCTCAATTTGAGAAAACTAACAAAATATAACTTACAGGATTAAAATATAACTTACAGGATTATATTGGACCAAAACCAAATTTATATGATAGCTCGTAGTACAGATTCCCAGAGTTAAGTTTATTCAAGTCCATTCACTCACTTTGGAAATGAAAAATTCTTATGGCTGGATGGATTGATCATCAGTATTTTCGCACTGTTAAATTTATGCACTTCATGCATATTTCCACTGTGTTCAATTTATGCATATAATGCATATCCTTGCTGTATCGAATTTATGCACATAATGTCTATCCCAATTGTGTTCAATATATGCACTACTGAAATATCAGTAACTGCATGGCTCCTAAGTCACTATATGGAGTTATGTATATATGGACCACCCTAATTTCCAGTAACAGGTCTAAGGAAATAGCCACATTTAGATGGGATATACAGGGTGTCCCAGGAGGAATGGACCAAACTTCGGGAGGGTGTTCCTTATGTTAAAGTATGCTGATATAACCCAAAACACCTATGTCCAAAGTTGAACGGTTACGGAGATAATGGCCAGAGAAGTGTAAAACTTTGACCGGCGTTGCACACTTGTTGATTATAAAATACATATTAAAACTGGCAGGAATATGTGGATTCTGTAACGTTAATAATGTACGTAACATCAAACTAACTTGTGAGTGACGTGAAGCCATAAAATTGAAGTACAAAATACTCGCTCGCCATGTCATAATTGTCCTTAGGGTTTCCAGGCACTATAAATGACACATGAATGGCAAGCGCTGACGTAACATACTGACTGAGCGTTCTGATAAAGCCAACTACATAAGCACGGCTAGGGTGAATCACGGCACTCAAGGACAAACAAAGATAAGGCCTCTCAGCTGATAGGTATAATCTGTGGACCCGCTAGAAGCCCACACTTTTCTCGAGCCATTATCTCCGTAACCGTTCAACTTTGGACATAGGTGTTTTGGGTTATATCGGCATACTTTAACTTAAGGAACACCCTCCCGAAGTTTGGTCCATTCCTCCTGGGACATTCTGTATAGTGTAGAAACTATGTTACTAGTATCTGTAACATGGAACTGAGAAGACTAAACAACTGTATTACCAGGACTCTAGATTTTCTTTCACACAATAATGTGTTAGTATTTTTAAATACAACTTGCAGTTGTAGGAAACAGGAAATGTGCATGGTTTCTAACACTGGATGCATGAATCCCTTCACTGTACTCAATGACATCAGCTTTCTTTTTTTTTTTTTTTTTNTTTTTTTTTTTTTATTTTTTTAATTCACTTAGTGGGGGGTGGAGTCCAACTGGGTCCACTCGGCACGGCAGCCACTGATTGGCCCGTTGTAGCCTGCCTCGGGTGATTATGATTATGGAGAATTTGATGGAATGAAGTTTGGCAGGGGAAACCGAATTACTCGGAGAAATCCTGCCCCAGCGCCACTTTGTCCACCACAAATTCCACTTGACCAGACCCGCGATCGAACCCGGGGTGCCGAGGTGGGAAGCCAGCAACTAACAGCTTAAGCTATGGTGCAGCCCATGACATCATCTTAGTTACCAGTACACAGTGTAAAGAATTTCAAATTACTTTATTTGCTGTAAAACTGACATTTTCAAATCATATTTATAATGTCATGGCTTTATATTGTATGGAATCTTGATCTTATTGAAATGTTGACTAACCTGACAACATGAAGAATATCACTTCTCCAACAAGAGTTTCCACAGCAACAGTAATGCCTTCCAACAGTTTTATGTTATCCATATCACCTGTGACTTGTGCCAGATCTTCCAGGTACCTTTACAAAACACAATCATCTTAATTACAGCTACAAAATGAAGCATAAAATGATGTAGTGGTACATTACTACTGTTCCTTTAGACCATTTATAGCCTAGCAGTACCCAAGTAAGTAATACTTTGGATTGCAGGTCTTACAGATCCCATTCAACACTACAGACTCTAAAGCTTGCCATAGGACATGATCCTGAGACAGTTCTGTCTCACTCCCATGGATCTGTTTCTCTAAGATTCAGCATAATGTTATTCTCCTATCCCCTTCTCAGTGTTCAAAGTGGCCCTTTCCAAGAAAGAACCCCCCACAATTCTCTAAGAAGTGCCTGACAATTTTTAACTTTTGTATCTGTTTGTATCTGGCTAAAGTTTTACTTTTTGCTAATGATACCAGTATTTTGGTTACTGGTAATAATCATTCTGAGCTTAAGCATAAAGTAATGGGTACACTGTCTCTTATTGTAAATTGGTTCACAGCTAATAAGTTGGCCTTAAATATCGCTAAAACTAATATTATTAAATTTGCTCTAAAACAGTCTTATAACTCTCTGGCAGTTGCTAGTTGGAATTTGTTTATAAATGAAGTTCCTCTGATAAAATTTTTGGGTCTGCAAATTGATAAGAATTTGGATTGGAAGAGTCATGTAGAGTATATTCTCCCTAAACTCAGTTCAGCTATTTTTGTAATTAGGAGTTTATCTTATTTTACGAGTAAAAAATTTTACAAATGGTGTATTTTTCTTATTTACACTCTGTTCTTAAATATGGAATAATTTTCTGGGGCAACTCAACGAATAATGTTAAGAGTTTTTAAATTACAAAAAAACGTAATAAGGATTATTTCTGGAGTGGGACCTAGAGACTCATGTAGGGATCTTCAAGAAATTGAATATACTGCCATTGTCATGTGAATACATTCTCTCGTTGATGATGTTTGTGATTGATAATCAAACTAAATTTTGTTCAGGTTTAGATGTTCATGGTTTGAATACAAGAAATCGAAAACAATTATATTTGCCAAACCTGAATCTTTCTGCTTTTCAGAAAGGTACTATGTTTACTGCTATTAAACTATTCAACAGATTGCCCATAATCATTCAAAGCCTTAAAGAGGATAGAATTAGTTTTAAAAATAAGCTATCTTTATATCTTATGAATAATTCCTTTTATACAGTTTCTGAATATGTGGAGCATAACATAGACAATTAGTTTTAATTATTCTGTTTGCTGTGTGTTTTTTTAAATTTTTTGTATGATGACCTTCATGTCCATTTGTTTTGGACTTATGAAAAGAAATGTATGTATGTATGTATTCAGTAACTTAGCACTTCAATGATACAGTATATTTATGGGCTTCATTTGATTTTCAGAATAAACAGAGATTATCTTCTTGAATACCATTAAATGACTGATGTAGTGCAATGCAGTGTGTTTTCTTGGAGAAAGGACTCAAATTTATTGTTATTATTGTTATGGAAGTCGCATGACAGGTTAGGTCTTCACAAAGTCTGTGCATGATGGGTGCCACACATGCTGACCCCACAACACAAAATGCAAAGAATGGATCTGGCATTACAGCATCTCAATAGCTACCACGATGAAGAACATGATATGCTAGCCCAAATTGTCACAGGTGATGAGTCTTGCTCCAAACAACTTCCATTTGTTCGGCCCCCTTAAACATCATCTTTCGGCTGAACATTTTCCCGACGATGATGCTGTAGAAAGGGAAGTTACCGCCTGGTTCCAACAGCAGCCCAAAGAATTTTATGCTGCTGGTTTTCAGGGGCTTGTGAAACGATGGGACAAGCGCCTCAATGTACAGGGAGATTATGTTGTGAAATGAAAGCATTTTTCAAATCAGTACTCTTATTTGTTTAAGTTCTATATCCATTTGTAACTTACTTACTTACTGACTTACCATCGTATTTCCACTGATACTATAGTGGAACTTATATGAATTACACAGATGAAGATTTCTATCATGTGAACCCATGATAAGTTATCTTTTTTACTACAGTAGTTTGTATTTCGTCATTAAGTACGTGCAACCAGTTACCACAGCCGGTAGAAGCTTCCAGGGTGCTGTGTTCACAATCTTACAATATGCCAGGAACTGTGATAAGACTAAAATTCATGATATCCAGACACAACTCGTGGATGTGACTAGATCACTGCCATGCTGTATTAATGTATCATTCATATAGCAAATTGTTTGACAGTACACCACCTTCACTCACCAGAAGAGAAAATAGACAATGAAACTATCAATAACTCCTGACAGTGTAGCAAAAGTGAGGAAGACAACAATATGCTTGTGCTTCAGCAGGTTTCCCACATCTCGCAGAATACTGTCAGAGCGGGGAATGGGTGGCAACTGAAACAAAAATAGGGAATTAAATTGATTTTTCTACATTTTAGCTTCCAGTCACCCAATACATCTTCATGGTGTGGTGCTTAATTAATTGGACATAGGGAGAACTTAACCTTTTACATGTACATGATACACATGAACATAGTTTGGAATTGCCACTTGTAAACCAAGCAGAGTGGTAAAGCAGTTACACTCTATACTTGTAATCTGTTGATGTTTGGTTCAAATCCAAGCTGGAACAATGGTTATCATGAATGTTGGGGGGTCGTGGTTTTTCTCAGTCCTTCGAGGCAAATGTTGGGATAGTACCATGATTAGTCCACAACTGCCTCCTTCCAAATTCCTTCCAATTCTGCAGTCATCTTATTGTCCAGCACCACACAATCTAGCTACTGAAGGAATTATAAAATAAGGCATGAACTACTCAGAACTCTGAGATATTTCTGAGATTATACAGATTACTTATTAGGCTAGGCTAGTGATTGGTTCTTATGTTTGATGTTTATGATTTTATTGTTTATTTTAAGTTATTTCTGATACTGGTGTAATAAGACTGATGAATTCCCTGAACTCTTTTATACGCTAGGAAAATTCTCTTATTATAACATCTTTTAGCTGCTTCTAAAACTATACTGTCTTCTGCATATAGCACCTTTCATAAGATGTATATACAAGTTCATGTTTGTTGGATCTCTATCCAAGAATCTGTCTTTATACTGTTTTAAGAACATAAAAAATTTACTGCAGGCATCTTGGATTTTCAAATCAGAATTTATGCATAAAGGCTTATTATTTTGCCCAGTTTGAGACTTACCCTGAGCTGTAAACAGCAAAATATATCTATCACAGCAAATATGAGCACTAAAACAAATGCTGGGGTGTAGTCTTTGGTAGGACTGCCTGCAGACCACCAGTCTATAGTAAAGCCCGCAAGTAATGCTGTGATACCAAACCCAATGGTGCCCCAGACACGCTGATGTCCATACTTCATCTCTCCCCCACTGCCTGTAACACAATTTTGTGTTCTGTTACTTGCGCAGTTCAAACCCATGTTAGAAAGTATAAACCATTGTATGGGGCTCCTATAAATATAACATTCATTATTATTTGTTTAAAGACGCATCATTACTTTTGTAACTATAATAGAATGGCTGTTAAGAAAGTAGGGTGTAAGGCTATGGACTGAATTCATCTGACTCAGGACAGGATCCAGGGGTTGGTTGTTTTGAACATGGTAATGAACCTTCATGTTGCATAAAAAACAGGGAATTTCTTGACCAGCTGAAGGACTGTTAGCTTCTCAAGAAGGTTTCCACTCCATGAACTTAGTTATGGTCCACCCTTCATGATCAGATTCCCTGATAGAAGTGAATGGAAAGAAAGGTTTCAGCACAACAAAAAATTGTGACTAATCTGGTACACAGATGGCTCCAAGACAAATAAAGACACTGGAGGTGGGGTATACATTTTGCCATGGTAGTAGGTGGAAACTTAGTTTTAGCTTAGGGGAGTACACAGTAGTATTCCAGGCAGAAGTGTATGCCATGAAGGCATGCACAGTTGAGAATCTAGATAGGAACTATCAAAACAGAAATATCTACATTCCATCAGACAGTCAGGCTGTCATTAAAACACTTGGCAAATACCAGATCACCTCAAAACTGGTCTGGGACTGCCATCAATCCCTCATTCAATTGGCCAAACATAACAGAGTTCAACTGATATGGGTGCCAGGTCGTGAGGGTATTGTTTGTAATTAAATGGCAGATCAGCTGACAAGGATGGGAACTGAATATCTATTCACAAGACCTGATCCAGATTGTGGCATCTCAATTAGAGTTTCCAAGACAGTGGTCAGCGAGTGGATGAACAGAAATCACAAAAGAACATTGGGAGTCCATAAGTGGACTCAGACAGTCAGAGGGACTTGAACTAGGGCCTTCTACCAGAATGAAGAATCTGTTGAAATTGAATAGAGACGAATTAAGATGGGTGGTAGGACTGTTTACAGGACACTGTCACCTAAAAAGACACCTTTCACTCTGGGATTGACAGATGAAAACACTTGCATAAGGTGCCTAGAAGAAGATGAATTCGCCACACGTAGCCTATGTGAGTGTGAGGTCGTAGCTTATTTAAGATTTTGTCACATAGGCCAGTTCTTTATGGAACCAAGTGACTACTGTGATGCCCCATGAACAAAGTCCTACATTTCATTCAAAATGTAGCATTAATAAAGGGCTAATCAAAAGAGGAAGCACAATAGATCATTGAAGGTCATGGTGAAAGGGGCCAGATTATTACACATTCACTCATTCATTCATTCAACTTAGTTATGTTCCAGAAGAGTTATGTTACTATAACCTCAGACTTCCAACTGAACAGATTCAGTGTTGATTCTCAGTTTGTGGGTTTGTCTCATGGAATCCTCTTTAGCCAGATATTATATAACATTACATTCTTTTAGTCTAAGACCACCCACCAAAAAATTTGTGATGACTAGAAACATTAACGAATATACAATAAATGACTTTTTCCTTAAATTAAGCTATGAAACTTGGGATCCTGTTTTCTCCACGGATAATGTCAACGAAATGTACAATTCCTTCTAGACTCCTATTTGAAAATTTTCTACTCTAGCTTTCCTATAAAGAGAGTCAGTATTGGGAAAAATAATAGTAATAATTGGATTACTTTAGGAATTCTAACCTCTTATAAACATAAAAGAGAACTTTTCATAGCATGCAGGGACAGTAATAATCTAGATCTCTTAAACTACTATAAAAAATATTGTACAATTTTATCTGCTGTTATCAAGGAAGCAAANAAACATTAACGAATATACAATAAATGACTTTCTCCTTAAATTAAGCTATGAAACTTGGGATCCTGTTTTCTCCACGGATAATGTCAACGAAATGTACAATTCCTTCTAGACTCCTATTTGAAAATTTTCTACTCTAGCTTTCCTTTAAAGAGAGTCAGTATTGGGAAAAATAATAGTAATAATTGGATTACTTTAGGAATTCTAACCTCTTGTAAACATAAAAGAGAACTTTTCGTAGCATGTAGGGACAGTAATAATCTAGATCTCTTAAACTATTATAAAAAATATTGTAAAATTGTATCTGCTGTCATCAAGGAAGCAAAAAAACTTGATTATGCAAACAAAATTAGTAAATCCCTGAACAAGAAGAAAACAATATGGGATATAGTTAAATTAGAAACTAATAAAACAAGAAATACTGATAAGACTATTACTTTAAATATTGAAGGGACTCTGGTCAATAACCACCAAGTGATAGCAAATGAGTTTAATAAATATTTTTCATTTATAGCAAAAAATATTAATAAATATGACGAACTTAGCTTTCATAACCCAGATAATGTTACTCCTCTTCATTACTTATCGCAGTCTTTTAAGACTCCGTTTCCAAACATCAAACTAAAATTTGCATCATCTAAAGAAGTTGAAAATGTAATAAAATCTTTTAAACCCAAAAATTCCTCTGAGTATGATGGAATATCTACTAAGATACTTAAAATAAGCTCTTCTTTTATTAGCTCGCCTTTAACTTATATTTGTAATAAATCAATATCTTTAGGAATTTTTCCAGATCGTCTGAAATATGCAGTAGTTAAACCTTTGTTTAAGAAAGGTGATAGATCTTGTATTTCCAACTATAGACCCATATCTATGTTAAGTTCCTTCTCTAAAGTTTTTGAAAAAGTCATGTATAATCGACTTCAGGTGCACTTGTGTAATCACAGTATTTTAGCAGAAGAACAGTTTGGGTTTAGGGCAGATTCATCAACAAAGCCATATGTAAGTTAGTTAATGAAACCCTGCAAGCTTTAAATAGTAAATCTCCAGTAAGTGGTATTTTTTTGATCTTGAAAAA